TCATCTACCACCCCCATAGACATTACTAGATGTAGTTTTGTCAAGGCACCATATGGAAGAAAAAATTCATTGGTCCAAGGGTCCATTCGTCGAATTGCAGTAGCTCGTCGGAAGCGCCGCCAAACCCCTTAATGTCCGTCTCCGTAAAAACGTTTCGTACGCACGTGTCACTTCTGTAACTCAAACCCCTAATACAAAAGACCGGCATAAAAGTGTAGTCCAAAGTAGAGTTTAGTAGCGGTGTTCTCTAGGGCGACGTCGGACAAGTCGGTTGGAGGACTGAGTCCCATCCGATACGACCCACCCGCAAATAGTCCATTGGGAGGTAGTCGTCTTACAGTTCGTGAACATCAACGAGACAGTGGAGACAGTATGGAGAACGATATGGACGGGGATTGGATAAGGCTACGGGGAAGAGGAAATAATCGGAAGGGGAGGGTAGATGAGGCCGACTTAAACGGGTGGTGCGCTCGGCATCTAGTAAGTAGCTGCTTCCTTTTTGTAAGTTGGAATGGAAGCGGCGAACGTGACAAAAACTCCGGCTACTTCGGCCGTTTGTTGTGGCGCTACCAATGCGGGCGAAAAGGGGGGAATGGGCCGTTTGCGAAACCCCGAAGCTTATGTGTCGCCAGTTGTCTTCGCAGCATGGACTTCGGCTGATGCGTTAGCAATGGCTTAGAAATTGTCTGCACTTTCGCAACAGACCCAGAACGAGTTAAAAAATGAGGATATGAAAGCAGCAGAAGCAGGACACATGTAGTTGTATATCAGCCAGCACCACTGCATCTTCTACCAACATTACAACTGTCAGTCGTTTCAGCGTTGTCGGTAGCTGCACCACCAAATTATTTTTAGCGAGTACTGAACTGACGATAAACGCCACCCCCTTCGTTGTAAAAAGCTTGTATATCCTTTTCTCACCTGCACTCTCCTAAGCGACACGTGCGTCGTATAGCAGTCGACAACAAGGCTTCCGCCTAGCGTCAATGTTTAACTGTACCCTGTCCCCAGGTACCCCGCGGTACTTCACCACCTGTCTTGGTATTGGTCGGCAACTACGATTTGCGGTTATGCAAAGCAGTAATCGTTGTGTGCATGGGGGGGGGGGAGGGGTCAAGTGTTATGCGTTTACGGGGTTCAGATATTTGCTTGCTTTGTCTGCCGTCTCCTTCGGCGTAGTCTGGCTTCCCTCCATTTCCGAAGGCCGCCGCATGTTTAGCTCTCAACAACTTTTGGGGTAATCAGGTACCCAGGGAAGGCCGGTGGAACTAATCAGATCGCACACATACAAGACGCAATGTTTATTAGGGGGACGCTTGAAAGGGACGCATAACGACAGTGTGGAGAACCGACTGTCGAACGTGTCGCTATTGGCACCGGTCCTGACAGATCCCTCACTTGCCCACCAACTGATAGAAATAAAAGCAGCATCAGCAGTGAGCAGATGAACTGAGTTGTGTGCTGCCGTAGCCAGCAGTGCAGTGGAGCTTTAGAACCCGCCATCGGCCCTCCGCCTGAGTAGCTAGACTGCGTTGGGGACTACTCGGTGTCCATGTAGCCCACAGAACAAGATCGCCGGGCATAGCAAGGGGTTTCGTTAGGTTGCTACCGGGCCGCCGTTTGGTTGGACCCTTCGCAGTGGCTCCACAGCAGCCCTCCCTCTCAAAAGCTGTGTTGGGTGACCCTCTCTTCTCTTTCAGGCGACGCTTCCATTAAGGAAGTACGGGACGTGTGGGGTAGCAGGTAGCAGGCACCAGGCTAGCGAACGACGGAAGCCGATTGGGTTGCGAGTGGGTCGCGGACAACGAAATGAGAGATCAACGTTCGTGACCACTGGCTGTGCTGTATTCTTCGTTGCGTACTGTTGTCGTATTACGAGAGGGGTCTGCAACAACGATGATCTAGTGAGGCGGAAGTCTGTGTTCCATTCGTTCCCATTATGGAGCTGAGTGTAGTAACGCAGGGATCTCGTGAAGATTAAGCAGGAGCTTGTGGATTGCGCCAAGGTTCGACATCGATGTAGCATTTTTACAATGGCGTTGTCTCAACGCATCGCATCGTGTGGACGTTTTCGCATGGACAACAACAGGAAACAGAAGATGTAAAGATTTATTAGTGAGTGAGGCGTACTGTACAATTATTAAACGTTCTATGCTGCGGATTCTGATTGTAAATAGTTACGCTGAATAATAGGATCGAATCAAATCACAAGTGGTGTTATTGCTACTAAAGGTGCAAGCCGATGATACGATGGGAAACGTTACCCAAATTGCTCGCCCTAACTTTCATGGTGTTACCAACAGCTACAAGCAGGTGCCGAAAGATTCCTATCATGTTAGACTAGATTTGTAGGCTATCAGGTGCGGTTGTATCACCTCTGAAGCCCGCAGTGAAATAAGCGGATTGTCGTTTAAGTCATTATCCTGCAAGTTACAGTATTGTCTTGCTGAACGTATCTAAGTGCTTCCCAAAGTGTCACTTTTGTACGAGTGTGCTTGGTGTGCATTTTCTGACGAGGATTGCGTCTAAACGAAACCCGAGGCAGCGGAATGAACGTTGGTTGTTGGGGCTGGCATGAACGAGTGGCGTTATAGCCCGAGGAGTCGATCAGCGCAAAAAGACGCTGGTAAGTACCATAGTAAAATGGTCGAGCCATTGGTGAGATCCTCTCGCAAGCGTGCTGTCCGAGGTGGCTGCATCGTCGACTGCCGTGATAACAAAATTGCAGCGACTGGTCCTACCGCAATAGTCGGTCAATGTTTGTCATTCAGAGCACCGTCAAGATATATAATAGCACCCTAACACGAATCTTTTCCGCTTAAATAGAAATTTATGTGGTGTAGGTCACTTTTGCGAGCGTGTGTCAGTATCGAGTTCAACGAGCTAACTGCTGCTGAGTGCTGGCTTCAAATCTTTTCGTTATTTTTTTACGATATTTTAAGCAGACACATCCAAGCTTTGCCTAAGTGGTACGTGCAGCCTTAGAAACCCTTATGGTAAAAGAGACCAGCCGGGTCTGCACAGCCCCTTTATTGTGAAATTTCGTTGTAAAATGGGATACAAGAACGAAATCGTGCTCTATGCGAATAGCTTCTCAAAGCGCTGTTATCACTATCAAAAAGAATTCCGATATCGATCCGAGGAGACAAATAATTCAAAACACGAAACCCGCAATCCACAACTCGTTGGAGACAATTGTTCATCCAACGAAATGAAAAATATACGTTTTCATCGTAGCCCTATGCGTTTGTTGCTGCTATCCATCAGTCTATGGATTCTGAGGGTCTACCGGTTCGATCTTTCTCATCTCCACTTTCCACCATTCCTTTTCACCTATCCGCCTACCAACTCTACAACGGATAACTATATCACATCGAATCGCTCAAGGAACGTGTGAACCCGGCCGACTTAGTACACACGTCTTTTTCTCTAGAAGACCGACGCCGAGGATATCGGGACAGGGCGACAGAACCAGCAATCAACAGTCGTTCCGAAGACGAAAGAACGAACGGGAGTTTCCTTTTACCATTCCTTCTTCCTTCTTATGGTCTTTCTTCTCGCCACTGCCCCTATTTGCCCCACAACCTCGGTTGTAAGATGCTAAAATTGGAGCTGCTGGGAACCTCGATCGGGCTAGACAGTAGGTGGTACGTTGAGTCGTCGTGATCGCTCGTACGTTTGTGGTACATCCAGCGTACTGAGCAGAGTCGTCATTCTATTCAGTTCCACTGAATGCCAGATTAGTTCCGCCCATGAGGTTTCCGCAGCCGCGAAATCTCACTGCCCAAGGAAAAAAGAAGGTATACATACGGGTTTTTTTTCAGGGAAGGAGGAACTCACCCGCACTATTTCAACGGACAAATACAGTAAAGCAGGTCACAATAACCTAAAGCAATGCAGCAAAAAGAGACAGACAGAGCGAGTTTTCGTCGCTGGCCTCGGGCGATACAAAGCTGTTTCCAGAGTCGGCACTGAGGGCGCTGTTCGTGGGACCTCTGAAAGCCGTCCGCCCACTATCCAGACGTCAGTCGTAGCGACGCCAGCGGCAGAGGCAGCACATATCATCAGGGCTCCTGGGCGAACCCTCAGTTCTTTCACAATCCGTTAGTAAACCTCTGTATCTCTAGCGTCTGCCGTCCTTGCTTCAAGATAACCCATGAATTGACAGGATTCGCACCGTTCCATAGCTGCTGAAACTCTCGTAATATAAGAAACGCCTAAGCAGAACATATAGCTAGATAAAAGATAAATAACCTGTATTTTTATTAGCGTATTTCATATGCATCGACACTTATTTTCAACGATTTAGACGAGCACTACGTGGGAAGCTTCTAAGATAAGTTTTACTACGCAGTCTACCGAACCTAAAAAGCCTAGCCTAATTCCATAATCGTATGTACTCCACGGCGCACTATGGTGCCGTATGAAGATTCTAAGTACGTAACTTGACGTTTCCTTGATGTTTCACTAATAACAATGGCAAACTAATCGACAACAGTAGTATCGATAACGCAAACTTCGATGCCTCAAAAACAATTGTTGACACATCTGATCAATCCACTTTAACTTGATGGCGTTATTTGCTGTGGACATTTGAATACATTCACTAATTATTAGAACTTTGTCTTGTCCAGTTTGAATTTTGGCCGACATAAACATTCAGTGTTACGGCATGCCTATATATTCGTTCCTGTTCATTGATATTCTAAGTAATAGATTTTCGTCTATGCAATAACGCCATTGCGCACGCGATTTCTATATAAACGTAAGACATAAGCTAAATATATAGCCCTGTCGATGTCGTCGTTGTAAGTGACCACTTCTAGCCTAATGTAAGTTCTCTGCCATTCAAAGTTACGGATCATCTACAACATATGAATAGAAGTCAGTGACGGCTGATTTGATTTCAGCGTGTGCTGATATCGTAATTCCTTGGAAAAATCAAGACGCAAGCAATTTCATCTACAAAAGTGTTGCCGAAGAACGTAGTCAGTGGGGATTTATTTATGGACGCTACAGCCATACGTCAGTCTCAGGTGTAAAGGGGAGTTTTCAGCAGAAATAGATCAAGACTTGATTCCACATTAAACAAACGACGGATGTCCACGAAGCGGCGAAACGTTACAGAGAAATCATTATATTGACCACTTTCAAAAATTAGAATTCAAGTAAATGTTTCTATATTCTGAATATAGTATTACTAAGGGAAATATGTGCCATTTTGATAAATGCTCTTTAACCATTTCTCTGGTGCCACCATAGAACTTCCTTCGATGGTTTGGCGCATCCCTCAAAATAAAAGCCAAATTAAAACAACTACGAGTGTACCAAAATATATCATATTTATGGGGGATAGACAATGCCATTTCGTTTTACTATTTCCGGTAGATTTTTTTCAATAGTTTGTTGTAGAAGCCCGAATTAGTCGTTTTGCGCAAGTGGCAGCAGCAGCAGCTTACAATGCTTTTCACGTAGCATCACTTCCTTTGGCATCAGCCTGAGCTTTGCCAAATCTGGAACACTTTCTTTAGTTTGCACGTTATTATCGTATGTGACCCACTTTTATCACCTGAAATCGTTAGATGGCTCGATTCTGTAATGTGTCGTAAATCTTTTGCATCGATTCATGTGATACTCAAACATTTAGAGTTTTTTTTAATTAAGTTAACTTTCGTCAATGTTTGTTTGATGGTGGTTCAATCCCTTGATGATACCGTGCTCACCTTTCATAGTAATTTTACTTTAATTTTTGCTAGTAATTGGTCGACCACTACGGTGAGCATCTCTCGCATCGAAATTTCTAAAACTAACGCGATAGAACGATTTTTATACCGCTTGTCGCGATAACACATCTTGACTATAAAAAGCACGAGTTTTTTTATGGCCTTGGGCAGGATTTGTACTTTTATCGTGGTCAAAATTGGTTAAATAAATCGATTTTGTAAAAAAAAAACATCACTCAGCTTCAAAGCGTTCTATTTTAAGTCTGAATGAAGAAACTCTAACGATTTTAACACACCTGCTACTGCCGGATTTTAGCCTTCGAGTGACACAAACGCCGGCCCGGCCCGACCCGACCCGACCCGACCCGACGCAACCCACATTACGTCACATACGACGCATACGTACTTTAGAGTAATATAGATGAAAAACAATCAGTATCTTTTCAGCAACCCAATATTAAATTGTTCTTCTTAAATTTTACTGCTTTATATATATATATATATATAGACACTCTCGTTGTTAAGTTATCGTATGTATAAGTCCAAAAATTACTGATATTTTCAAAGCTCTTTACACTTACGTATCCTTTAAAAATATCGGTAGATGAGATATTTAAAGCAAATCAACTCTTCCATCTCCAGAAACGGAATCCTACAACCGTAAGATAGTTAGAAAAGAAATAATTTTCTATAGTCGGTTTCGTCGAACACTTGACGTCTTCTAGTTTTATAGATCCTTAATAACCTTACGGAAATCAAACTGTTTACCTAAAAATCATTGTTGTTTTCTGAAGTTCGGGGGATTTGATTTGAGATAGCTGCCGAATGACTCTCTGCGGATCATATACACAACGAGGTTCGTACAGCCGGGAATTTCAAATCTGCCCCACGACTTAACATACAACACGCATACAGCATTCGTTGACCGGTTTAACAAAAGTCACAATTTTTTTGTTCCTCTAAAGTCCCCTAATCCTCCTGCATGGAACGCCACCAGCTGCTAAATTAAGCAATTTTTTCACCATATGAAGCTAATTTTCATGGTTACTAAGCGAATTGTTGCCTTAAGACGTCTTAAAATATAGAAGTATCAATCACAGATTGTCTCCACTTCTTCTAAAGTAAAACTTTCAATTAATGCCTTTCTCTTTTCCCGAAAAAGAGTATTTTTATTATGCGTTTACCATGAATGGTTATTGCGCCTCTACGATCCTGAAGCGTCTTAGCTCGGTTCGAACAAGCGTCATCCCTAAGACGTCGTTACCATTGCCAAATGTGTGAGACAATGGTCTTTCGGGCAATGGTAAAATGAATCTAGTGATTTTTAGTACTGTTTGTGCGTAAGCGTGAAAACGCTATCAAGAAAGTGTTGTACCAAGGAAAACTGGTTTTGGTGAAAGGTATAGAGGACGTCGCATCGATCCTAATACAAATGAACTGGAAGCATCTTGGGAAACAGTTTTTTTTCCAACGGAATGAATTTGTGAAGCATTTAAATGCAAAAATGGCATTATTTTCGCGGGATTTTGACTCAAATCGATTACTTTTTAAAGCGGTCTAAAATACCTATGAAGGATAACAAAATTTTACCTTTTTATTCAGGTACACGGAATAACCGCAGTGGGTAACAGATTAGGAAAAGGACGGTGACAACTTAATTGCTTCAAGTTCTATTGGCTAAGTTACGTACTATGTCAGACGACTACGAAAAGAAAAGTGTTTGCGGCTGGTTTTTATCTCGAGGCCATCTTACGTGTCTCTAACTTCAGTAGACAGACAGGTAACCATTGCGCCATTTAGGGTCTTTCAAGCTGCTTTAAAGTTACAGGAGAGTTTGGTGAAATGACTGAGTTACTGTATCTAAACAAGGGAGGCAAGGTCGCCGAACAATTGAAGCAACTTAGTTAGACTACTAGGATAGTGTAATGAAATAAAGCACGTACCTAACGGAATAGGTCAGATAATACGGATATTATTTAAAATATACGGGTGTGAAGATTTGTAATGGAGCAAAACGTATAACTGTAACAAGCTAACGCTGCAGGATCCCTGCAGCAGGACAGGAGAATAACGGCATTAAGTTCAAGTTCAGTACTCGCCTCAGATTCGGTCTGATTAGAGTGCACGAATGATGTTGAACAACGTCCCTTTTGCATAATTAGCGCGGATGATGCGCGAGCAAAGAGTGACTGGATCTCGATGCCCATAGATAAACGTATTTACATGCGTAGTGCTATTCTCCACTATCGAAACTCTGTGAAAACAGCCGTTGGCTCCTGATATTTATAGAGCGGAACTATAAACGTATGCTATAAATTCTAGGTCAGAAATGCACTGTCCTGCCAAGCAAGCTATGGTGTTACCTTGTATACATGCTATCTCAAACCAGCAGAAATCTCTATTAGTTGTATGTGGAGAGTTGTGAGATTTTTTTAGACTCGCATAAACTGATATTCGGCCGTATACTAAATGCTCTGAAGTTACTTCAGGGTAGTCTATTTTTATTCAACTGGAATGGCAATACGCACTTTCAGTCTGTGTATGATGAAAGGGAATACACTGATCAGGAGCAAACTGTTATTCCATCTATAAGGTCAGCGGCTTCAAGCCTCCGTACATACACTGTTATAAAGTGACCGTCGTCATTCATCCGGCTAGCCAGTGTACCAACGCCCTTAATAAGCCGTTCATCTGTAAATGTTAGAAAAAAAATACGACCAACAAAATGTTATTCGGCTTTTTTGTAGATTCTAATGCCGGACCGTAAATCTCTTTCTATATATACAAGGGAAGTTTAATTTCGAAAATTTTGAAATTATTTTTTGGAAAACTGGCGGTTTTTGTTGTATACATGTATATATGTGCTCGGTGGTTTCCATAATTTTGTATTGATTTTTCTGCAAGCATTGTTCGCCGATTAGATAGATAACAATAGCGAACATGATGTGGTTATCTAGGTATAGCGAAGCTAAGCTTGACGGTGGTTATACATAGGTATGTTTCGGATCTGGATCACAAAATTAGACGACAGAAAGTTTTTCTACTCTGTAGATAGGTTTAAATATTGAGTCATGTAGCTATCTAGAAGTAGCATGTGCTTTCTGCTGACTAGCCAGATAAACAAGTGATCTTTTTAACAAATTCGAAGCTGTTTCTGCACGTAAAAAAGGACCCTGACTTTTGGCATCTAGCTAGTACTGGCCACAGATAGCATATTGCATGGTCTGTGAACTCATTACCGAATATTAGCAAGAGCAATCATATTAACCGTAGGCATATCAAGAGATTTGTATCATACGAACGCTGTACATACATGCATACGCGTGCAGCAAAACATCAAAGAGCCAATTCTGCATTAGGTACGCTTTGTATGAAGTGACACTCCTTCCTCATCTCTTTTAGGGTACAGTTCCTCTAGTTCCTGTGTATTGTATAACATAGTCAAATTGAGCTGAGCTACTTCGTTCGAGTCGAGAACTGCGACCCTTGACCCAGACTCGTGTTCATAATGCTGCCGATTTTTTCGCTGTCTGCCCAGATCTAGCCTGAATCATCTAGGCCCTCCTGTAGCGTCGGTCGAAGCGACCGATTGCGTTCCGTACAGTGTCATCCCTGTGGAGTGTTACCTTTGAGTCTTGCCTAAACAATGGGGACAGCCACCAAGTGGTTTCTGGAGTAATGATTTCTGAATATTATTGCTGCAACACAAAAGACGTGTAGGGTTATCAAACAATGCCCCAAAGGCCGAGCACAGTTCGCGATCAAAAAGAATGGACCTTTTGCAAACCGTCGAAGCCAGTACTAACTCCACAGGTATTGGTTGCTTAGTGTGGCCTATCTATTGCCTATCACGGCAAGGCAAAATTCGGCTAACAACAAATCCCAAAGGGAATAATCTGTCACAGCGCTATTAATATTACTATTATTACAGTACAGAATAAGCTTTTCATTGAGTCAAGTGCTTTTTCAAGTAAAGCCTACATTTTTGCCGATTGCAGGCCTAATCGCCCTAACCCGTAAGTCGACATTCTACACCACACCAAGCGATGTGTGGTCCTGTTATTGAATTCAGTTTTCTCTACATTAAACTCCTTTCTACTGCAAGCGAAATAACAAACGCTTTGTCCCTCTTCCATTTTTTTTGCGGCGACTGACTGCACACGGCTGGTAATGCCAGGACAACGAACGTACAATAACGCAGTGAAACGACTGCGTCGATACCAGTATATTACTCGGTTGTTCATTCAGCTTACCTCGAGAGCCGTTCATCTTGCCGGTCTCAAATGATCCGTCCTCCGTCGTGCGGGAAAACGTACAGGTGTGGATCCATGTGCACCTCGCATGCTGGCCACCAATTTTATATATATATATATATATATATATATATATACATATGTAGTGGAAGGATCGCTAGACATGGTATGGCGATCAAATACAGCCGTATTTGCGTCCGAGTCATTGATGCCAGCGTCTTTTAGGCTCGATAAGCTTGACAAAGCATAATAACAGAGTATTGGTGCAATGTTGTATTTTCCCCAAGCGTTCAACGGTCTCTTTGTGAGTTTACTAAGTTTACGAGAAGGGAGCAGAATAAGGCTAGATTAGCGTAAAGAAGGAAGAAAATAGGATAACTGGTCAGCGACTGATATTTTTGCTGCAAAATACTACAGCACCCGAAATCGATATTGGGATATTATCATATTGCAGTCTTACAAAAGCGGTTATTGTAAACGGTTGAACCCATTCTAAAGAGCGAATCGTGACGACCGTGTTGGGAGTAGCAATTAGTAAAATTACCGTTTCAACGCAAGCAACCTTTCACCTAGGTGCGACAAATTAAAACTATTATGTATCCATACACATATAGAAAGACGATAGTTTTTTTTTATAGGATCCTCTATATAGATCAAAACGGTCAAGCTATTAAGGATGTTAATAAATGATAACAATAACGTATGGTTAAATCATAACAAAAATATAGGAGATATTTTGTTACTGATAATCATATATATATATATATATATATATATATATATATATATATATATATATATGTATTTTTTTTTTCACAGCGTATTACTGTAATTTTATATTTGAATTATTCATTTTCGACCAATGTGTATTACTTATAATACAATATGCACCGTGATCGACAATAAAAATGCATCCATCCTGTTCCTTTTTGTCCATCAAATAGGAATGTGTAGGAGGTCAGGAGTGGCAATAAGACGTTTCTGTTAGTAAGCTATTACTAGAAAAAGCAATGGTCCAAGGTAACATCAGTGAGCTTCGTAACGTTGGCAAAAGCCTTGCCAAGATCGATCTCATTTACATTGCCCTGAGAGACTAGGATCATAAAATTAAAATCTCGGCCAGCAGTTTACTATTCGCTACTCCGTAGTTAGGTTTATATGCTAAAGAAAATGTATTTCAAGAGTAGAGAAGCTACGACGAGCTACTTCCTTGAGCGAATTTATTTAAGGACAGATAAAAAGTAGGTTTCTCTTAGGACAGTAGAAGGTGATGATGTCGCGTCATGAGCCAGCCACCGAAGGTGACGCCTTCTTTAATTGGTAGCTTTATATTTAATTCAAATATATGTTTAACATCTGCAAAGTGTTCTCTTTGTAAAAATGTACACAGTATTATGAAGCACCGTTAACTTCATCGAAAACGTTGTTCGTGAAGCTACCTAAATAAACATTTTTTATTATTTAATTTCAATTTGATTCACGTTCGAGGTTATCTGCCCGCT